CTGCCGATAGGCCGCCTAAAAACTGCTAAAATTCCCACAACACGTAAATACCGTCCCTGTAGTCCCGGAAAACGCCATAACGGCCGCAGATAAAAACGCCGAGTGCTTGTGAATGCCGTAAAATATTTTGTTTTTAGGTCCGGTCCCGGATCCCGGGTCCGGTGGCCGCAACTGTCGCGTGCTGAAGCCGGGGCGGCCGCTCTTTTTGCAGACGACCCGCCACATAATCCAGTAATGGACTATGTCCTGATCCGATCCAGTCATCCGCGTCGGAGTCGGTACTGAAAATCACACGCGGAGCAAGGCAGTCCGATTCTTTGTTAATCACCCATCAAAACCAACATGAGAAGGTCATGAGCATTTTTCCGTGAAACTGTGAAAATAGGTCGTCCTATTGGTAAAAACAAAAGCGCAAACCTCTGTTTTGTGTCATGCATGCGGACAGCAGCCCCACCGACAGTCCTTGTTTTCCTGACCACTGGAAATTACACAAGATATCGATTCAACATCATTTACACTTGAAACACCAGTGGTGGCATTGCGGTTTGGCGGGTTGTTCGGGTTGAGTTATTTCGCATTGTTGCGGTGCAGTGCCAGCGTTCCGTTTGGATTGCCACCGGGCCGGCTGGGAGTCGGTGTGACGTGACCCGACCCGTCCGGGGCGGCGAGAATCGGCGCTCCAGCGCAGCGAGTAGTGGGCCAAGGACCAGTTCTCGCGAACGTCTGACACCAACCTCTAGCGAACATCCGTTCTTGTTCTGCTCCTCGTGCGAGACGCCACGGCGTGGGAAGGTCCATAGCGTACATACGCCGTGCTCAAATTCTTGGTAGGGTGCGCGGAGCTTGGTGAAGGTGCATGTGCATTCATACATTGTCCAAAAGCTCTTCAGGATAGCTGCCAGGGACAAGAAGAGCTTGGTCATACTGCCCCTGCCAAAAAGAAAAAAATACCGGATTTGACCCAATTTATTTCGGAGGCCTCATTTTCTTCCGATTCTATCCCGCCATGCCCATGAGTGGGTTCAATGAGGGATGGATGGATTGAACAACAAATAAACCTCGTATATTTCCCGGACAGGGGGCCGCGTGGGCAGAGCACTGCGGCGCTCACTGCCTTTTCTGGCCAGGGTCAGAAGGACCCTCCCGTCCAAGGCTCTGGTAAATAAATGAAATAAAAGACAGGGGTAAATACATCACATAAAAAGTTTGATCACCACTCTGGTGCTACGAGGGCCGGGGCAGCTGGCCGATCCGAAAGACCACAGTGGAAAACATCATCCACCCGTCGCCGTGTGGTGCAAGCGGACCTCTGACCGGAGCGGATGCCGACCGGCTGGCTCAGTACCGACGCGAAGGCATCACCATCGCAAAACGATCTCTTACCGGCACAGGGCGTCGTTATTGGCACAGGACAACTCTTATCGGCTATCAGACGCCTCCCCGAAATGCGGTGGAGGGCCGTCGTTCGATCTCCTTGATACGTGTACCTTTCCATTGGTATTTACCATACGATGCCCCGGCGGTATGCTGTACAGACGACTGTAGGAAGGTAAGTGAAATCGAGTTTGTCTCTGGTAGCTGCCAGTTTACGCCCGGGTTGCAGCACAAACATATCTTTGATCATGTAAGAGCGCCCCCAAAGAACGCGCTCCAAAATGCCTGTGCATGCTTTGCCTTGGCCACTGGCAGCCTGGGCTGAACAGCAGCTGTCTATCACGTTGGATCTGAACTCGCTCGCCTTTGTTGTCTGGAGGTTGCGTCACAACCGGGCGGGACCCGCCGCACATCGATCCCCCCCCCCCCCCCCCCCCCCAGCTGCGGACGGGCACATTTGCAAACGCTAGTCGATTCTTGACATATTGCGGGAAAATGCAGCCACCACATGAAAGCTTATGTGAGATGTTGACCTAAAATTCCGGTAATCAAGATGAAAATGCCTAACTTACGCCCTGATAGGGGATAGGTCGTTGCAACATCACTACGGATTTTTGAGGATACCTCTCCGGCATGTTGTGCAGTCATACCCAAGTTCTCAGTGGCTGTGTGGTATTCACTGTCCTTTTTACACCGAAAATGTGTCCATAGCATTTCTGGTCTCAGAGCGGTAGCGGTATTTGACGAACACTGCACGACGATCTGCGGCCAGCACGGGCGACGGGCGGAGAGCGACGATACTACAGAACGCGCGCGGCGGGCTTCTATCGACTAATTGTTACATCAACGAAGTCATCAACTAAGTATATCTTAGTTTGGAAACGCTACGGGGTCGCATCGATCCTTGCTATCAGCCGTTGTGAAAAACAGCGAATCAGGAAGAGGGTTAATCACGTTTACTAGGAACTTTCCCTCCGATTTCTTGTTTGATCCCACCTCCCCAGCATTTCAAAGCTACTTGTGATTGGAACCATCTCAGGTCGACATCCACCGATGACCTCATCGGCTAGGATGTCTCACCATTTGTCAGAAAACAGAGGCAACCCATCAACCACCAAATTTTTAATTTGGTTTTAACTATGTACGTGAGAGTGGAATGTGTAGAAAATCGCGTCATCTTTTCTCAGTTCATCACACATCTTCCTTTTAATGGAAATGCAATTTTAACTCGGCAATCACTCCAGAAATGTTTTGTTTACCACAGGCGCAATGGAGCATGAGCACCATAGCGGCCATTTGATTAGAGCAGCGTTTAGAAGTGTTCCACATTGGCCTGGGGTTTTAAACTGAAATATCTATCTTGAAGATCATTTGCTGGTTCATAGCTCTGACATTCTCCAGAGTTAAACCCTTCTAGTTTCTGAGATGCACGCCCGCGAATATAAGCACAGTATTTCGGGGACACTGTTCAAAGTATGGTCTCAAGAAAAAATAGTTGGTTCTAACTTCGATCAGACCTTCTACCTTACCCAAAGTCAATAATTATCTCGTAATCCCCAATTTAATTGTCAAATTGTCTAAAAAAGCTACCCCAAATATGTGTGGCTTCGCCTGACATTAACACCTAACAACCGCTACTCTGTTGCCTACAACTATGTACAGTTTCGCACGGCAACGCCGCGCCTTTCGGAAATTATTTCGAAATAAACTTTTGGCGGCGGGGTCAAATTGACCCCACCCGAGCGCGTTATTCAAGAGTGTTTCACATTTGTACGGGGTTTTGAGCCGAAACAGCTATTTGGAGATCATGCAGTGTAGATCAGAGCCTTGTCCTTCTTCAGACAAAGAATTCTCTCGTTTCACAACTTCTCGCCCACAAGCATGTGCAGACTATTTCGCTGTCACCACGCATCCGCCACCATGTCATTCAACTGTCAGTCCGTTGGCCATGCGGCGATCAAGGCCAATAAAAATATAATTGTCGAGGCGTTTATATCTGGCGTTCGACAAAACGATTTCCAGATATAGCGGCCGTTGATTGGCTGTCAGTAAATGTTGTGCAGCGTACGATGACGTACTCAAACAGTGACGTGTTCAGGGACAAATCTACTGACCAGAGAAATTGTGTTGTCTTTGGGCGACTTTCCCCGGTTACAAGTTTACAAATAGTTGAAAGTGAGCCAGTTTCATCGCATCTCATCCTTGCCTCAATATTTTCAACTGTTGGATGTTCAAATGTTCCCTTTGACCACGTAGTTTTCATTTATGCACACAGCGCTGCAGCAGCCACTTGGAACCCAACACCGCATGCCAAAACCGCAAGGCTGGCAAAATTTGAGACATTTGGCCGGGCAACTGCTTTCTACAATCGTTCTGCTCCTCCTGGGAACGTAAAGGTTTTACCATTTTGTATCCGCAACCATTTAAGAAATTATCATCACGTGACGTAAATATTTGATAATACAACACATGTTGGTATTTTACGTGACCACATGACATTAACGACCAGGCCACGTCGTTTGGTTATATCCACGGGGCCATTGCCGGAAATACCGGCCACTGCACGCTGGAAATTTCTTAACGGAGCCTCACGTTTACGGCCGGCGAAGACCTCTCTCACTAAAAAACTAAATTTGACTGATATATAAACACAAGCACACACACATACATACAGGCATACATACATGTATATATATATATATATATATATATATATATATATATATATATATATATATATATTATACCGGTGCACAGACCCCCCGTGGAGCAGCGGTATCGTATCCGGCGCAAAAATGTGTTACCCGCGTCACGTTACAAAGCTCTTAACGTCAATTCACCAAAACCGTTCATTGGCACATCTGATATCAGTTGCCGTGTCATACATCGTTCGGGCAGGTGGCGGCGAAGTTCCGTGTTTTTTCTTCTGGACTGTGGGCAGGAAGTCGTCAGCCGGCGCGCGGTTATCCCCAGGCCATCCATTCTTCGCGTGAGCTTGACAAATCCGCTCGCACGACCACGTCCCAGCCCGAGCATACTGTTCTGATGTCGTGCGGAGCGAATTTCGGCGGTAGTGCAGCGGCCACCGTGCTTTCCGCGTGATGCGGTCAAAGGCCTGGCAGCGCACTCGGTTGTCAGTGATCTTTGTTGAAACATGCATGCTACGTTTCGGCAGCTTCGACCGGTTGATAGGCATCGTCCTCTACCATGCCCGTTCGCCTACGACGACGCATTAGATGTGCAAACTGTTCGGTTCACCGTGGACAACGTGGGAAGCCGGCACGGTTGCTCGCAAATTCTGCAGAAACCATTTGCACAGTTCACGATCTCAGTTTTCCGCGTGAGCGTTGAAAGCACAGTTGAGGGATCACGTATTTCCTATAGAACATGTAAGGCTGGAGGTGGCATCCCTCTCTACCGCATGCAGCCATGCTCGTCCGCATTTACGGCCTTCGGACAGGCAGCTAGCTTTTTACGTCAAAACAAGCAACCGGGTTTTTCAGTCCGGGTGAGCAAGCGGCATTGTGTGGCATGGTTTGTCGCGGACGGCAAAAGAAGGCGGACGACACTCCTTTTGCCCCAGGCTTAACGTTCGGCGAAGTGCCTTCGATAAGCATCACCCCGGCTTTCCACTCTTCCTCCGAAACTGTATTTGATTAAAAATTTTCGCCGCCATTCTGAAACAGGCTGAATCCAAGGCTACACTCCAGAGCGGGGTGCGCTCCTGTGGTGCTCCTCGGCGGCGCCGCGGCGCCTTCATTCGTAGTAGGTGCACGCTATGTCGTAGAACGGCTGCCGATCCCGCGCCTGGGCGTTGATGTGCTTGACGAAGCCGACCGTCTCCCGGTCCCTGTACACCAGCGAGAGGGCGTTCGACTCGGGGCTGACCGACAGCAGCTGAAAAAGGGCGTGACGGACCGTCAGCCCGCCGGCGGCCACACCCGGCGCCGCGCCAGGCCGGCTCGCTCGCTCCGGATCGGCGGCGCACGCGGACACCGAGGTCAGAGCGACACGCGGCGCCCGTCCGATCTCAGCACTGGCGGCCTTTGCGAGGCCCCGCGACTGCGACCACAGCCCACACAGCCCCTACCCCTTCTCTACACCAGCTGGCTTCGCGCGGCTCTGGCGGCTTCGCTCGGCTCTGGGACTGTAGCGAAAGCCATTTGACCTCGCCAGATGTCGATGTCTTAGCTCCGCCCGACGCCCACTCCCTCGGGCAAGATCGCGTTTCCACCGAGCCGGCCGCTGCGCGCTCACCTCGGTGTCCTCGCCCCGGGCGATGTAGGAGGTGAAGCCGCCCAGCTTGTCCTGCCAGCCGTCGGCCTGTACGCAGAGCCGGACGTCCAGCGCGCACTCGCGCTGCGCAGAATCGTCGTCGTGCACCAGCGTGTAGGCGCCCGGACGCCACCGGCGCACCTGCGCCCGACAGGCGGCCGTACTGCCATCTAGCGAAATGGACAGCTACTGTTAGTGCACGGGTGGAGCCACCGATCTGATTGCGCAAGTTTCTCGGCCAGTGATCTAGACTGCTGACGTTTGACGGACCCACACAATGTTTCTTCTAATAACCACTGCTTTGGGAGTGACCCTGCTCTGATGACATTTGGGGACATGAGGAATGCATTTACATGAAGACATCTGGCACCGAGGACCCTGGCATGAGGACATTGTTTAGTGGAACAGAGGCAGCGCCTATGCTAGTGTTATCTCATGGGACAGGGAAAGGCGGTGGTGTCCGTACAGTGGTGCCGTCTGGTGGACAACAGCTGAAGGCTGATAATCGGGAACCTCACCCTTGCCGTCGTCTTCACTATCGCTGTCCTGGCTGCCACCAGCACCACCGTTGACCCGTTCCCCATGCGACGTCACAGCCAGTGGATGTAACACCAGGCCGGTCAGCTGACTCAGGATGAGGAACACGGCCTCGGAGCACAGCAGCGTCACGCATTCGGCCAGCGGCGGCGGCAGGTTCGCCGGAGCGCACCGCTCGACGCGCCGCCTGTTGGCCGGCCCGACAAGCTCCCACTCAGAGATCTGCCGCAAAGCGGCGCTGACGGCAGCGTATTTGTCGGGCAGGAGGAAGCCCTCCAGCTGGATCTCTGAGTCGCCCTCGAACTGTTGCCGGATGGAGGACTGCGTCTCCTCGGCCAGGTACAGCGGGTTGATCCACGAGTAGACCATCTCCTCCTGAGGCGGTCACGGATCCCAGCTGGCCATTCCCGACACCACAGTCCCACCGCCTGCTGCGATGCGTGGACCATTCAGCTGCATGATAGAGCGGCGCCCGCTTCACCGTAGGGACGTCTCGGAAGGTGTGGTACCAGTGCCAACCTTCGTATCGATCACTTCCATGCATCATCCTCGGGTTGATCTGAGCAATTATCAACAAGTAAGGCGGGTCATGGCTCCCCATCGCTCGTTGCTTTACGTCCGTGATTGTCTGCCTGGACCAATGCACATCATTCAGAGTGCTTTAAGCCATATACCGCACAACGAAACCAGCTGTTCTCACATATGAAATTACAGCTTGCACCTCACTGCACAAATCAGCTGAGCTTCAACCACCAGGCACACCACGCACGCCCCCATACCCCACATTGGTATTTGCAGTCTCTCTCTCTCTCTCTCCTCTCTTCTCTCTCTCTCTCTCTCCTCTCTCTCTCTCTCTCTCTCTCGCTCTCTCCTCTCCTCTCTCATCTCTCTCTCTCTCGCTCTCTCTCTCTCGTCTCCCTCTCTCTCTCTCTCTCTCTCTCCTCCTCCCTCTCTCTCGCTCTCCTCCTCTCTCTCTCTTCTCTCCGCTCTCTCCTCTCCTCTCTCCTCTCTCTCTCTCTCTCTCATCCTCTCTCTCCTCTCTCTCTCCTCTCTCTTTCTCTCCTCGTCTCTCCTCTCTCTCTCGTCTCTCTCTTTCGCTCTCTCTCTGCTCGTCTCTCGTTCTCTCGCTCTCTCGTTCTCTCGCTCTCTCGTTCTCTCGTTCTCTCGTTCTCTCGTTCTCTCGCTCCCTCGTTCTCTCGCTCTCTCGCTCTCTCGTTCTCTCGCTCTCTCGCTCTCTCGTTCTCTCGCTCTCTCGTTCTCTCGTTCTCTCGCTCTCTCGTTCTCTCGCTCTCTCGTTCTCTCGCTCTCTCGTTCTCTCGCTCTCTCGTTCTCTCGTTCTCTCGTTCTCTCGTTCTCTAGCTCTCTCGTTCTCTCGCTCTCTCGCTCTCTCGCTCTCTCGTTCTCTCGCTCTCTCGTTCTCTCGCTCTCTCGTTCTCTCGCTCTCTCGTTCTCTCGCTCTCTCGTTCTCTCGCTCTCTCTCTGTCTCGTTCTCCCCATCTCCTGATCACTCCTTCTTTCCCTCTCCCCCGTTCCCTCTCTCTCTCGCTCTCTCCCGCTCCCCGTCCTCTCTCCCTTCCCAAACCCCTTGTCAGCGTGCCGCACACGAGACACGCCGACAGCAGGGGTGGGCAACGCACAACCAGCGGCATGTGTACCTGCACGTGGCCGGGCGGCTCGGCCTGCGGGCGCGGCTCGATGTAGGGCGGCGGCCGCGGCGCCGCCGGCCCATGGAACCAGCCGTTCACCGACAGGCGCACCTTGTCGGACGTCAGCAGCTCGGACACCTGGTGGAACGAGTCGGCCGTGACCTCGAACAGCACCAGGCAGCCGCTGGTCGGCAGCAGGGAGCGCACCACGCGCCGCGGCTGGCCGTGCTCTGAAACACGAGCGCGTCCGGGTGACTGGGGCGCAGACCGGGCCGAGTAAGACAGAGGGCGTGACAGGCGCAGACCGGGCGGAGTGTGACAGGGGGCGTGACAGGGGGCGTGACAGGCTCAGACCGGACGGAGTGTGACGGGGGGCGTGGCAGGGGGCGCGACAGGCTCGGACCTGGTGGAGTGTGACAGTGACTGTTGGCCAGGTCAGGGCACTCCCAGAAGCAGTATCGGTGTCTGTGTGCCGGTAAACGCGCCATGGACAGCCAAGACAGAGCGTAATGGAACTCGTGGCCACAGCATGACATCCCGAGTACAAAATAGGCATTGTATGGCGCAAACGAGAAGCCCCCATGGCCGTACGCCGCTGTTCAACATTTGATTAGAACATGAACGAACATGACAATATATCCTATTGGAAGCCTTTAGGCAGGTGTATGTTATAAACAATGTTATGAAACCGAGTACAAGGTGATAGTGAATCAATACATGCCGTCCCTTCGAACATGTGGCCTTATGAACCTGCTTCGTGTGGCTTCGTGTAAAAGGCTAGTAGTATAACACAGCGAACGACTGCCCTTGACGGATGCCACAAGCAGCAGGCGTCTCTCCGGCCGCACAGACGTCTGCCCGGGGCGCGGTACCATCTCTGTCGAACAAGTCGAGCAGGCCGCCGTCCTCCGGCTGCCAGGGCGGCACCAGGTACAGCACGAACGCCATCCGCCGGCCCTCCAGCTCGTCGTCGTGGCACAGCAGCGTGTCTGTAGCCCACGGCACGAGGTTACCAGTACGGCCGCACGGGCTAGTCAGGTGGCCTGCGATCCAGTGCCGCCCGCTCACGGCCACCACTCTCATCTCGCCACACGAGAGCGCAACTAGAATGGCGAATAAAGTCTAGCCTTGATATGTCTCAACCGTATCCACGTACGAGTTTTTAAAAAAAAAAACTGACCTGATTCAGGCCTCCAACCATTTGAGAACAATTTCTGAAGCTTCATGGCCTCTATTGACCACGTTTCTATGCTTCTCCTCATGAATGCATGGCCTCGTTGTTATGAATGCTAGCTCAACAGAAGCTGGAGTCGTCAATTTTTGCATTAGCAAGAAATGCTGTCTTACTGGTGTTATGCAACATGGATTAACTAACGTGTACATGTTCATCGTTTTAGCACATTTCATATCAAACAGGCCTATGAATAGTTTATATGGTTGACAAACAATCTATTTCAACCTAGCAATGCAAGTGCATGATTAAAAAGATGCCCGAAACTTGGGGCTTATCACGATTTAGTTGTGAAAACAAACCCTGTTCAAAACGATGTGACACAGATAGCGCATTTTTCAGCTTACTTTTGACTTTCTGTGGATAATAACACATACCACCAAGCTTCGCGTACTTACGCCGTCTTTCGCTAGCCGACTGCCATTGGAATTGTATTTTCTAACACTGCTCTAAATCATGTGACCCATTTGAGACAACTTGCCAGCCAGCCATCGCTTACATGTTGTGTGACCAGGCGGAGGTCTGACGAATAGCCCGGCGAGAACCCTGCGGGAATCCCAGGCCCCCAAGAACTACGCGGGAATACAAGCAACCCTCAGCTGATCTACGGTGAGGAGCATGACCAATACCCTTCCAGCGCCGTGCTCTACTGGTGCAAATCTTACCCATTAAACACGACCACAACGATAAAACCGACACAACAGCCCAGTGCCCAGACAGAACGAGGGACGTACCTGTAAACTCATATCGTGAACAGCCCATGTCGACGGTGTTGTCCAAAGGAATAGATGTCACCTCCTTCAACCAGTCTACCATGGTGTTGAAGAGCAGCTTCTTCAGGCCCTGGATATGTGGGGTTTGCATCTTGCCAAGGTCGGTGGTCTGGTGAAACTTGTACAGGTCGTTGTTCTTTTCTACAAAGTCCAGATCGAGGAGTTCATCTTTTAAACTATCCAGGAACTCGTGGTCGGAAATGAAGTTCTTCAGCTGGCAGCATTTGAAGGGCTCCTTGAAGGCAGTTGCAGGGCTGTCTGCGAAATCAATGGCTGTGTCGACATAAGGAAGGGCAGGCGCTCTTCGGCGATCCGATACGGACCTATGGCCAACATATCATCATGCTACCAAAAATAACTCTAGCTATGTTATTATTATGGTTAAAGGAGCCAGTTCATTAAACTTCATTTTGCAATTTCACATGTCACATACAGAGGCTTCACATAGCAATCAAGGCAAAGTATAGCAGAGTATTGAAATATTTCGCGAAGATCGGCATCTGATTATTTACACCTCACCCTTTTCAAACATCCCAATCATGTTTTCAGAACACATGGGGTTTATGCAACTCTCTCTTGTCACTCACCTTGTAGATCTTCGACTTCTCCGTTCCAAAATTTGGAAAATAGCTCCTTGAAATCAACCGAGCTATATGAAGCATTCATGCACACGACTGGGCAATCATTCATCAACTCAGCTTTCCATTTCTTGGACCCAGCAGTACTCTTGCCACGACCCTTCCGTTTGGCACTCATGTTTGAACACTTCTGTAAATAGCAAAAACATGCATGTGAAACATCTAACCAATAACATTTTGGACGACTTCATGTTTGGTCAACGTGGACGCCTTCGTTAGTTGCACTGTACCTATCAGGTGCGACAAGCGCGGTGTATCACGCTACATGACCGTCACGCCATCACGTCCGGCCGCGCGGCACCTACATTATAACCGAGGACTACGATGTTCGGATTGTGTACGATTTTCCCCGTAATTTTTAAAGCAGATGACAACAGCAGCTCACACTCCACAAATAACCATTTTGCCATTTACTGTCAGTGATGGCTATGGTGCATGATTCCTGTACTGAAGCTCTGCTTTCATGGCAGCAATGTTCTGTGTGCCTTAAAAAAATGCATGACCGAGATACGAATTGTTCACTAGCCTATAATTTTATATTCACACATTCAAAATCGGCACAAACATTCCACTTTCAAATTTCAGCGGATTTTTGATGGCCATAAAATAACGATAAGATCACGAAATAGGCGTCTCGCAGCCATTCTTTGGCGACACCAACTCCCCTGCACGAAAAGCAAACGCAGAATGCAGGGCAGTGCAATTTGATATATTTAATTCGGATTTTTCGTGCCACCACACATACAGCGGACTTATCTTTTAACATCGGTGGCTGACATCGTGGTAGCCACTGAATGTCAAGCAGGATGCCCCCCCGCGAGATACCAATCTCTAATGTGCGGTCAATGGTTTGTTGTCATGCTCACACATGCCGCTCGAGATAACGCATGCAATTTTCGACCTTACACAACCAAAAAATGTGTGTGTGTGTCTCACTGCAGCATTATGACACATCCAGCTGCAGAAGCTGTATGGTGCCACCCCTGGTATCGCCTGCCTCTTACCCTAAGAAAGGGTGGACACCACAAGTTTCTCGGTACCTCTGGTTTCTCAGACATGCAGCTTAACTGTTAAATTACCTGCCCTCCAACCACAAAGCATGCAATTGCACAATAATTGCATGGTGGTGATCCCATCTTATCACAAGGTGACCTCAGTGGCACTTAGTACAGCTGCAACATACATATCATCTGTACTTATCATCACTGGAAATAGCTATCATTGCATCAAAAGATACAAAGCCTGCTTTCCTTGACACTTCTTTGTGACAATATCTACTTGACTTGACAATATAACTTGACCACAACCACATTTCTACAATAATTAATCTAGATACTGATGCAGGTGGCAAAGCTGCCAGCTAGAATATGAAGGCTGTGGCTGCAGTGGCACCAAAGTCCATGAACACAGTAAACTTGGTTGAGTTGAAAACAATGTCACAAAAACTCCACCCTAGCAGCTGCATTATACCAACTTATTCCAACAGTCTCCACTTGTTGCATGCAGTATAGTTGCAGGCTGTGTCAGGTGACTGAGATGGGTCTGTTGTTGTCTGGGCTTCAGGCTACATAATTAGTAGAGTGTGTCAGCTATGTTGGTGTGGGAAAACTCTTTTCTGGATCATCTCCATCAATAAAAGAGTACTGCCTACTTATTTGTTAAGAACATGTACACATACATTTCATAGCATGATCTACCAAATGCTGTGCATTCAAAATCTATTGGTACTCCCAATGACAGCTGTGAGCTCTGCCTGACATTTCACATATTTAGATCATATCAAATGAACTTGGATACATTAGCAGCATCCAGAATTAAACAGCTCGCTTTTAATATATGTGCATTCACAATTGATCTGGAGCCATAACTAGAAAAATGGTGATCATATGCCATCTGCACTGGCATAAGTTCTTTCACCATCCCATTAGCTCAGCTGGTAGAGCATCTGACACCAACCATTAAATGGCCAACATTAATAACATAGTTTGAAACCATGCTGTGATCTGTAAAAATGGCAACTTCCTAGCTGAGGATACCAGGCTGAAATAGGGTGCCTAATTAATGTCTTTACCCAGCCTATGTAACATCAGGAAAACAATTTTCTGTCAATCTGAGTTTTCACCTGGGGCAGCATCTCAGGGCCAGATTAACAAATGCATGTTATGTCAAACATGACCCTCACAGCTGAGTTAACAGTACAGTCACTACCAATTTTTGTGCATGGGCAGGCAATGTTTCAAGGCATCTTGATGTCACAAATGTCATTTCAGGTAAAAATATTCACAAACACATTTTTCATGGGCAAATATATGGGAAAGTTAAGCCCATTTTGGTCTGGCCTGGGTTTGAAGCATATTTGTGCCAGGTTCAGCAAATTGTGTGGGCATACAGCAGAGTGGATACATATTTTGCAGACTGGTTGCAGGATTTTTGCAGGACATTGTGGGCTTACAAAGGTTTCAATAGCAAGACACTCTCCAGAAGGAAGTAAAATGATTGCGAAAACACCACTGACATCCATAAAGCTTTGTGTATGGCTTATGCGCTTTTAAATCCAATATGGTTCAATTTGCATATTTGTACAGATCACCATCCACATATGTTCGCAGTCAAAGAGTGAATCCAAATAGCCAGCCATTACCTACACAGCGTAAGTTGAAACAAACAGCAGCACATCCCCAAACCGCACCACGCCTCCTATACCCCTACTCTACGGCCTTGCCGGTGCCGCGTATTCCAAAGGGTCAAGCGGCATTTATGCACGACGGCGAAAACCGCCGGTCTAGCGAAATACCGCATCCAGGCATTTTCAGAGAAGCCGCCCACTCGGCAGCCACATACCAGACCAAAGATCAAGGGCCCAATTGGAAGACTGAAGGACAGAGGGGCTGGCTGTGAGTCTTACTTAAGGACCTCTGGGGATATGCCCATAGGGCCGTGATCTCAAATGTCAGTTAGAGGATCTCTTGCACAGATTGGGACCGCTGAAACATCGCGTTCCTCGATTTCGGCCAGATGTCACCAACAACGAAGTCAGTTCCATGTTGGTCTCAGCTCTGAGGGCCTATCTGCCATCAAGGAGGAGGCTGGGTCCACGATTTACATTGGTCGGTGCCCTTGCATCGTTCGGTGGCCCACAGCGCCTAACAAGGTATTGTGTGCCAACAAGGGGCCTGGGGTAGACCAGAGGAAGCTTTGCTTGACAGGGACGGGGACGGGACTCCAAATGACAGAGGTCCGCTTGCTTTGGTGCGTGCCCTCTGACGTGTAAGGAAACATGAGAATTTATGATGAGTGTTGACACTGAGGCAGTGAAAGGGTCTTGTGCCAGCTTGGCCTCCAGTACAGAACGGTGGGCTCTCCAACCCAATTCTAGCATGGGCCCTTTCAGCCCCATTAGTCTAAGTGCCAATTATTTGATCACATGCGGCGATCAGGGACGTCGTTGCAGTAGTGAGGATTCCTGGGTCGACCGAGGGTCCACTGCGCGGACCAGAAGGCCTCCCGCGTCAGGGAGCGGACCAATGTGATATGATGTACCCCACTAATGGCCTCTGGATCGGCCAGGGGAACCACCCCGGTGTCGCCGGAATGACAGGCAGAAAACACGCCGCGGTGGAACCGAATGTCCCTTCAGCTCTTAACCGGGGACAATGATGTGCCCCGTACTGTTCTCAGGCAGTGCTTTCAGTGGAAAAATGTAAGGGGTCTCATAAGTGTGGGACAGTGTCGAAATAACTTCAAACGAGGCCATCCCATATTTTCCGGACAGCGACCATTCCTTTGCAGAATCGACGTGAAACAAATTATATTAATAGGTAGAATAGGCCTGCACGCCCGCAAAGATGGGGGCCAGGACCGCGATGGCTTGGGTTGCAGTTTCCGCAGAACCGAACGGCATTGGTCACTGCGAGCATCGCCAGGCGGCGGGCAACGTGCGCCAGAACGACCGTCGTAAAATAATGTTTCTGAATGTCTTTCAAAATAAATTCGTACTTTAAAGATAGGACTGGACAATTTTTTTTATAAAATCGCTGAGATTGTTCTCTGGACAGACTGACAGTTGCAGCAAGACGAAAAGTAGAGATTGTACGTCTACCCTTCCAGCTCTACCAACACGCTCCAGCACCACTTCGCGGTGCTGTAAAGGCCAATCTATTGGTATCATTAGCTTTTAGAAATCACACAGGTAAAATTTGCGCCGAAATATATTCCAAATGTGCCATTTTTAGCCCTCAAGCGTTCATAGGCATAGGCGTAGGAACGTTTCAAAAAATGGGGGGAGGGGTGGCCGGCTCAGAGTATACCTCAGGAACTTTTCTAGGAAGCAAGCCCGGTGACCGGGGAGGGGGGGGGGGGTTAGAGACGAGACTATTGTCCGGTCTACATTCACCTAACATATTATGGAAATAATTAAATGTCATTGATGGTGATGTGATGGTGATGGTGATTATATATATATATATATATATATATATATATATATATATATATATATATATATATATATATATATCCAGCTGTTTCTCACTGGTGCATTATCTTGACAATAAGAAGGCTATCCAGCTTCGCGCGATTATTCGTGCATTCCAACGTTGCTTTCACTGGGGGCGCATAATTCCGCGAGCGTATAGACATTTTGGGGTCATCGAGGAGGCACCATCTCCGCAGGGTAGATGCCAAAATACGGCCTCGACGTAGGCTGGTCAGAATTTGGAATGCGAATCGATGGCCTATTGTGCGTCTGAATTCTCACGCGCCTAGATTTCGCGGGCTACTGTGCTAGAGATAAGATTTGTCGCAGCATTTTAGGCGGAAAGAAGTTATCAACATGGGGCGCAGGTGGGCTAGTCTTTGGACCGCGTTGTGCAGATGCGAGCAACGGATCTTTCGTCTCAAAAGTGCGCCGTAAACCGATTGACTCTACCTTGAATGGACGAAATCAGAAACCACTCAACAGGAAACCGGCCCATCAACTTGTTTATCAAAATCAAATGCCCCCATCACCTAAGGTGGATGAAAAAGGTTTGCGGAGGATAATCAAGACAAATGCCACTCTAAAACACTAAAACACTAAGGTAAGGCTTACTGTCTATTACAAGAGAACAAGTGGCCTTGTAACGGAAAACAGCCTGACAGCGGGCCAAAACCAACTAAAGCGCGCCAATGTCGTACCTGAATTTAATACCCTTACAGGGACTGCCGGCTCCGCAACTCTGTCTATATTGGTATGACCACAACATCCCTATCACGACGCA